AGAGGCCTTCAGGAAAGCCTTGCCAGTCTTAAAGGCTGCAGAAGAAAAGACCAGCAAGTCAGATGTCCAGGTGTGTGAGGCCTGGCTACAACTGTCCCAAAGTAAGTAGTAGGGCAACTCCACACACACACCCATCCCCACCCTAATTTAAATTTTACCCGTGCACTCTGGGGTGGGCAGGATCTTAATTAGGGCTTATTTTGGGGGTGGGTAGGGTTTATATTGGGCTCATGTATAAAAATCAAGCTAGGACTTACTTTCAGGGTAGGTCATACTTTGGGGAAAACAGGGTATATCCCACTTTCCCCTGTAGCGTATACTCAAGATTAGCCCACTTTTATATCCTGTACATGAGTAAAATAATGCATGCATCTACCTGCCTATATTCTAATAATCACCTGTGTGATTTATCAAGATTCTTCCTCTGTGATCTTTGTAATGAAGTGTGGGAATGGCCTTGGTAGACAAGAGGAAAAAACCACAGGTTGGAAATGGTCAGATAAAATAGAGCCCTAATAGATTAGGAATGTGACTGTGGCAAAGAACTCAAAAATTGTAATGGTGAAAGGGGAGAAATGCACAGGTAGCCCTTACCTTACAACAGTTCAAAGTTACAACATCACTGAAAAAAAGTGACATAACCATTTTTCCCACTTACAGCCACTACAACATCCCCCTGGTCATGTGATCAAAATTCAGTTGCTTGGCAAAATACTCATATTTATGACGGTTGCATGTGATCACCTTTTGTGATCTTCTGAGAACAAAGTCGATGGGAAAGCCAAATTCACTTAACAACCATATTACTAATTTAACAGTTGCAGTGATTGACTTAACAACTGTGGCAAGGTCATAAAATGGGGCAACACTCACTTGTTTCACTTAGCAACTGAAATTTTAAGTCAAGGACTACTTGTACTTCCAGACTTGAAAGATTCTGTGGATATAACCAATAAAGATAAAGTTACTACTTTTGGATGTTCTTCCCTGGACTAGCTCACAAGGCTGACAGTCTTTAATGATGGAATACAGGCAGATGAAACGTATATATCAGGCAGAGATACCTGCATAATCAGAGTCTTTGGAGAAAAAAGTGGTGTTGTATTGTCACAATACAACCAACATACTATATGTGTATATCATATGTGCTTTGGATCACAGGATAGACATACAAAAGAAGTGGACCTTTCATCACTGCCTTTTCTAATCTGCACTTTTACTCCACATGGAATATAATCTTAACTTTGAAAAAAAAAAACTTAAAAAAAATATTTTTAAAGCCTCCAACTCAGCAAATGTAGGTGGCATGACATCTGTAACTAAGGTTTCTACAATCCTTTGTCTACTTATTAAAATTGTTCTAGAAAGAAAGAATGACAATATCCTATCCTACTTTCTAAACAGTAGTTTAGGAAGAAGGAAAAGGAAATTAGGACAAGGAACAGAAATGAGCAAAAAGCACCTTCTCTTCAGTAAATGTCTATAAATGTCTTCACTGTTTGGGAGACAATGGGTTCATCCTCAACCCCTTTTATAATTTTTACAACAGCATGAAATCACATTTACTAGTTCTTTAGCTGGTGTTGGCCTTCATGTACTTGAGTTCCTCCCAAGAATTTAGGACACTGTAAATTATCAATATAGTATATATATGGAGCCAAGCATTGTGGCCCTTTTCAATTGACAGATGGAAATTTTGTAAATGTACAGATTTTCAAGGTCCTGTCCAAGGTTTTGGGGGGACTCATTTCAGAATGCAGAGGCCCATTTGAGGCCCTGGGATGTCTCTATCCCTTCAGTTTCTGAAGCTAATCTCATCTTAGATCCAATTGTGTATATAACCTCCATTTTGCCCAGCCATTCTCCTTCCCTAAGTTTTATGGCCTGCTCTTCCTTTCTCCAGCATTGCCTAATGTCAGACTCAAACAACCAAAAAGAAGACATGGAGCTACCTCTGGTAGTTTATTATTATTATTATTCATCTACAGCAGGGATGTCAAACTCGATTTCACTGAGGTCCGCATCAGGGTTGTGTTTAACCTTGGAGTGGGCATGGCCTGGGGGGGTCTGGCCAGCTCAACATAACTCATGTCACGGTGGCCCGAGCACCTTCTGCCCTCCCGAGCTCCATTTTCCCTGGCAGAGGCACTGTGGGCTGGTCCTTTGCTATTTCCATGGAGGCCCTACAGGCCAAATCTAAGCACCCCGTGGGCCAGATCTGGCCCCCAGGCCTTTAGTTCGACATCCCTGATCTACAGAATCTTGCCAGAGTAAGGCAATTAACTGTATAACTATATACTCTGTGAATTGCTAGGAAAAGTCTATCCTTGCCCTCTTCCTGCCTTCCAGATATTCCAAGCTCCACAGCCTCTTTCCCTTCTGGGAAACCCTCCCCTCTGCAAGTCCACACTATATTCCACCACACTGCCAGGCTTATATTTCTTCCACCAGGTTTGATGTCCCATCTGTTACTATAGTTGTTGTTGTTTTTTTAAGTTATTATTATTTTTTAAATTACCTTATATGCATGCCAGTTACTGAGAAGCACCTAGCCAGTTAAGCCAAACTTTTTCTGATATAAGAATAGTCTGAACAAAAATATAAGTACAAAAAGTCAACCAATAAATAACTTGCTCAATTTAAAATCAATAAGTACTTGTGTTGGGCGTCCCCTTGGAAACATACCCTCTTCTTGACACTTGGTGTGGAAAAGGGGTTTATGCCTCTTTTGTTCCAAATGAAATGAACAATTAAAGAGACAGTGTATAGACAATAAGGAAGATAAACCTTGATGGAGATATGGAAGATCCATTATTAGGGCAATGAGGGATAAAATATATTCTAAGTGTGCAATAGACAGCTAGTATGCATAAGCAGCTCAGAGAAATGTCTCCCTAAATTACTGAAGTACAGGAAAGCAGAGATGGCACAGTACGATCAGACTTGCAAAATTCTTTCATCATAGACAATCTCAATAAAATTAATTTTAGCTTTTCCATGGAGTTGATTCCTTGGTCTGGTCTATCTAATGGCACTATCGTCAATCTAGCAATCTTCTTTTTCAATCTTGTATTATGTTTTAAGATAGGCTGAAGCTCTCATGTTTGTTACAGGAAATAGCCTTGGATCCTCAGGCCACACCTTACTGCAATGTTGTTGCAACACCAACAACAAATGGATGTACAAATAACCAACTCACAAAATGACAAAATGCAACTAACACAACAGATGGGACAGAAGCTACCCCTTGTCAAGGCTAGCAATAAATCTTCCATCTCCTTTACACTCTAGTGCAGGGGTGTCAAACTCAAGGCCCACAGGCCAAATCCATCCAGGCAGGGTACTTAGATCTAGCCTGTGGGGCCGACCTGGAAACAGTGAAGGACCAGCCCGTGGAGCCTCCACCAGCAAAAATGGAGCTAGGGAGGGTCACGGGTGGCCGTCCCAAGCTCCATTTTCACTGACAGAGGGCTGCAGGAGTCTGTCACAGTCAAAAACAGAGCTTGAGAGCCTGTTTTCACTGGCAGAGTGCCCGGGCCACCATAGGCACCCCAAACTAGAGTGACATTGAGCTGGCCATGCCCACCCGGGTCCAACAAAGTAAAACACAGCCCTGATGTGGCCCTCAATGCTATTAAGTTTGACACCCCTGCTCTAGTGAGAAAGTGACAGAGTGGATAAAATTTGTGAAATCATTTTGCAGGCATTAGTTCAGTTTAAGGCAATGTTTCCACCTCCACATGGCTGTGTTCCCCCTTTTTTTAATGCTAGTGATTTGAAAACAATCCCCTTTTTCACTCATAGAAGGGCTCTCAGCAGTTTGAAACTGACTGGGGTACAAAGTTAGGTTCATGTTTCTACGGTAGTTTGTGTACTGTGCAGAGAAGGGAAGAAAGAATGGAGATCTGAATGGGTGCATCTATTTCAATCCCATTGCTAAGGTTGAAAGCATGAGGGAGGGAGAATTGTGTTACTAAATAGCAGGAGTTGCAAAAAGGTGGAATGAAGGAGGATGGAAGCACTGTGGCTGGAAGGAGCTCTTCTCTTCCAATCTCTTAGTAAATTAAAGGAGAATGTTTGTAGCTCAGGGTTGAAATGGGGAGTCCTTGGTGCTCTCTGAGCTTGCTTGTTTCCTTGCAAACGTTTCCTTAACAAACGAAGTAACATCATCAGTGATAGTAAGGAGTGATGTTTACTGTCATTTTATATTCTGGTGACTTCCCTCTCCATATGGGTGGAGGAAGATCTAGAGATTCTTTGGTTGGGCTGTTTACAGATGGATCTTTTGCATCAGTATTGTTTACTTGGGTATCGTCTACTTGATTGTTGGTCTGAAGTTAACCTTGGAGTTAATCTATGCTGATCTGGGTGCTGATTACTGGTGGAGAGACGTGTCACCAGAACATAGACAGCAAACAGCATTTCTTACTAGCACTGAGGATGTTACCTAGTTAGGGTAATGAAACATCTGCAAGAAAACAAGCAAGCTCAGAGAACACCAATGACCCCTCTTAGTAATTTTCACAGAGCAAGCAAATGCTCACAAAACATCTGTTGTAGCGATTCTCTTCTATGGAAAGGTAGCTCCTGTTCTGCAGCTGACTGACCCAACTCAACATTTCAGTCTGTCTGACATCTTCCAGAATCATTCATCTTTAATCTCTAATGAGAAATCAATCTAGCTATCCAGTGGAAAAGTTTGCATCAGTTTTGACTTCTGTCCAGTCGTGCTTTCTCTTTGACACAATATCTTCCTTCCTGCTATATGAAATCATCCCTGGGAAAGACTTAATTTTCGGAAAGCAGGAAGTGTCCAGGACAGCGGTAGCACTAGTTAAATGTTCTCAGTTGAAAGTGAAATAGATCAAGCAGCTCACGAGCCTTAATTGTGATTACACTTTATTGCTGCTTAGACGATTAAGTGCTTAAATTAGCAGGTAACGGGATATATATTCTTAACGGCAAGGAAGAGCTAATCATGCCTTCGCTAAATATTTCAGCCCAGTTCCAATAATCTCATGGAGGAAAGTTAATGGCCCCAATCCGAGCAAAGCTCGCCTGCGGAAGTCCCAAGCGGTGCTCGAAATCCCAAACGTGCAGCTAGAAGATGCAGGGACATATGAATGCAAAGCTGAGAACTCTCGGGGAAGGAATGTCTTCCGAGGACAGTTGCAAATATACAGTAAGTTTTATAATTAATCTCTTGTACATAGCAGGGTTGTTCTCTTACCAAGTGTTAATTTGCCTCAATGCTTGAATGTATACGTTCAGACATGCATCTCTGACATTTGATGGAATCGGTTTTCATTTTGGGTGCATTTCAGCCAGAAATAATTTTATGAATGAAGGCAAATATACGTGTCCAAGGATAATGTTGCAAGTTCCAATCTGGTGCCTTCCTATTGGTTGACTGATGTTGATGGCTGGCAATTGGCTGCTGTTTCCTTGTGTTGCCCTTGTCAGTCAACAGAAATGTGGATTTACCACCAGCTTATCAGGTACTTTAGAAGTGTAAAAGTAAAGAAGGGACTTTCTATCATTTATGGTGGACATGTGATAACCCCCCCCCCCCCAAATTGAAGCATGATTCATATTCCAATGCAGAAAATTTTGAAAATGAAGGTAAAAATAAAACCAAAAACTTTCCTTTTGGGGCCTAAAGACTTGGAGTAAAACATTGGAACTTTGACACTGTATATGTTGACGGCAGCAAGATTATTATATGCACAAAAATGGAAGGACACTTTGATTCCTACCGTGGATGAAGGGCTGCAGAAGCTGATGGCGTTGGCTGAAATGGCCAAATTGACTATTTTGATTAAAGCAAAGTATATAAGTACTTTGGTTTCCGCATGAACTTTGTGAACTTCCGAACTTTGTGCTTGAAGTGGAAAAGAATGAAACTTTGATTTTGGGTTTTACCGACCAGGTTGATAGATCCCTACAGAAATGGCTGGTTGTTCTTCTTATGGAAAAACAAAAAGTTGTGGTTTGATGTTAATGCCTTATTTTACTTCAAGAGAGAGTCGGAAGTCAACATTTCTTTTTCTTCTGGTCCTTCCCTTTCTCCCTCCACCCATTGCTTTCCTATTTACTTTCGCATTTTGTATCTTATTTTATTTTGTACCTCAATAAAAATGTCAAATGAAGGTTCTTAGGAGCTGAGGGTTTGGCAGAAAAGGAAACAACAGCCAACTGACAGCCATCAACACCAGTTAACCAATAGGAAGGCACCACATAAAAAGCGACTCGAAGAATAGCTGAAAGCACTTATTGCAGTAGAAAGAAGTTCCCCAGGAATGGGCTCCAGCACAAGTCTGAAAGCTCGGAAGAGTAAACCTCTGATCCCAGTGATGGACATAGATCGGACCCTGCAGAAATAGCTTTGCTGGATACCATATATCAGTGGTGATTAACCTTTTCAGCACTGAGTACTGTAACAGTCGCGTGCGCTTGCCAGAAACCAAAAGAACAGCTCCTGGTGTGCGCATGCATGCTGGCCACCTGGGTCTTCTGGCTTCTAACACGCATGCGTGCATGTAGACCAGCTGGCTGGCTAGATTCTAACACGCATGTACGTGCCAGCCAGCTGGTCTCCGCACATGATTCGTGTTAGAAACTGGAAGACCAGGTAGCTGGCGCCCATGTGTGCACTGGAAGCTGCTCTTCCAATTTCCCGCACTGCCACATGCACGAAGACCAGCTACCTGGTGTGCGCAACAGCTGGCATGCCCAGAGAAATGGCTGTGTATGCCATTTCTGGCACATGTGCCATAGATTCACCATCACGGGCATATATCATTTTCGATGAGAATAATAGTCTCATCCTAAGGCCCAAAAGATGTTTCCTAAGCACTGTCTTCTACTGCTGTCTCTTTTCCGAAATGAAATTTTCTTTTAACCTGGAGCGAAGGTGAAGCAGCTGATAGAGGGTTGAACTAGGACATTAAGGAGCCAAGTCTGGCTACTCACTTTAATGAGTCAATGATCATTTCTACTCTTTCAGCAGAGGCAGACATTTGTTATTGCTCTATTTACACCCCCTTAGACAAGGAGCCTCAAGTCAGTTAACGTAAATGTAAAATGCAATTGTAAAGATTAAAAATATAAAGTATACTACTAAAAGCATAGTGAAATGTTAAATGCTGAAAAAAAGTGCAGGATCAAAATGAGCCTTCCTATACATCGTGTGACCAAATGAATCATAATTAAAAGTAGATAGATGATTGATAGATAGATAGATAGATAGATAGATAGATAGATAGATAGATAGATAGATAGATAGACAGACAGACAGACAGACAGACAGACAGACATGATACATAGAGGTAGGTAGGTAAATAGATAGAGATACAAAGACAAAAAGAGAAAGAGAGAAAGAAGGAAGGAGAGGGAGGGAGGGAGGGAGGGAGGGAGGAAGGAAGGAAGGAAAGAAAGAAAGAAAGAAAGAAAGAAAGAAAGAAAGAAAGAAAGAAAGAAAGAAAGAAAGAAAGAAAGAAAGAAA